ATCTCAAATAAGATTCCGGTTAATGTTTTTATATCGAAGTTTAGTTTCGCGACACCGCGTGAAATTGCTTCGTTCAAAATCAATGTGCCTGTAGAACACTTTAAAACCCTTTGTGACCCTAATTTCTGGCCACCTCATGTAGTTGTTCATGAATTTAAACCCAAAAATCGTAACAGATCGATGCCTATTTCAGTAAATTTACCTTCGGTGCAATCTTCATCAAACGTTGTACCAAAAAACTAAATTACTTACAAACCTCTTCTCAGCTGTCCCTGATTTATCAAAATGTACGTGGCTTAAACTCAAAACTTAAAAGTCTTTTCTTGCATAGTTTCAGTGTACAATATGATATTATCGCTTTCACTGAAACATGGCTAAGTAGTAATATTCATAATAGTGAAATTCTTTCAAGTAATTTCACTATTTATAGACTCGACCGTTCGTCGCGCAGAGGTGGTGGGGTGTTAATTGCGGTTAAGTCCATTATCCACTCTGAATTGTTTACCTTTTCGTCCCTTTATGATGTGGAGATTATAGCGGTTAAATTAACTCTGCCATCGTGCTCATTATACATCACATGTTCTTATATCCCTCCCTCTTCTGATGTACAAGTTTATGCTCACCACATAAATTGTATTAAACAAGTTAATGAACATGTAAATGATAGAGATTGTCTTCTTGTGTTGGGTGATTTTAATATTCCGAACACTTCTTGGTCTTCAACTTGTAATGCAAATTACTTTATTCCGACAATTGATCACTATCTTTTTGATGAATTGTTTAACCTGTCTATGTTTCAGATGAACTCTATTTCAAACCATCTTAATCGCACTCTTGATCTTGTGTTTGTTAATCATGATTCGCTAATTAATGTCGCGAGATCAACTCCTTTCTCCTTACCTGAGGATATATATCATCCCACTTTAGAGGTTTTATTAACTATCGACAATCCTCCCTCTAATACTCCAATGCCTTCTAAACTTAGTCGCTGTTATCGTAAATGCAATTTCGTTTTGCTTAACGAACTAATTAATTCAACAGACTGGTCTATTTTATATGAGTCGGTTGATATTAATTTAGCATCATCGTTTTTTTATTCTACCTTAAACTCTATTCTGGATGTTTGTGTCCCTCTCCGCCGTATTTCGCCAGTTTCAAATAAGCCACCTTGGTTCACCAAAACTCTTTCGAACTTGAGAAACATTAAAACTAAATGTTTTAAAAATTACAAAAAGTCTGGTTCAAGTATTGACTGGTCCAAATATTCCATTGCCAAGTCAAACTTCAATCTTTTAAATTCTAGCTGTTATGAGAATTATCTTACACGTTGCAAACGTCAGTTTACTCGTGATCCCAAACAATTTTTCTCATTTGTAAACTCGAAGCGTAAATCCTCTGGTTTGCCGTCCTCATTTGTCCTTGGAGGTGAAAAAACATGCAATGATCAGGATTCCTCTGATCTATTTGCTGATTTTTTTTCAATCCACTTATTCTTCTGCTGATCTCTACAGCAACTCATATCCTAATTCTCTTCCTGAATATGGATCTATAAATACTCCCAAAGTTACTGCATCCTCTCTGGCTGCAGCCATTAAGACATTGAAATCATCTTTCTCTCCTGGTGCTGATAATATTCCTAGTTGTGTGATTAAAGAGTGCAGTGTTTCTCTTCAGTCACAATTACTAAAATTGTTTAACTTGTCCTTGGATACTTCTGTGTTCCCTTCAATTTGGAAAGAATCTTTCATCATTCCCTTATATAAAAAAGGTGGAAGATCTGATATTTCCAATTATAGAGGCATCGCGAAATTATCTGCTATTCCGAAGTTATTTGAGAAAATCATAACATCGGCCTTGCAGCATTTTTTGCAAATCGATTATTCAACCATCTCAACATGGTTTTGTTCAAAATCGATCTACGTCCTCTAATTTACTTGAGTTCACGTCGCTTGTTAATGACAGCTTTTCCAAAAAAATGCAAACCGATGTTATTTATACGGACTTCAGTAAAGCATTTGACTCAGTACATCATTACATACTAATTCTTAAGCTTGAACGCTTAGGATTTTCACCCAGTCTTGTCTCTTGGATTTCATCCTATTTAACGGGTAGAACCCAAAGAGTCTTGCTGAGAACAGCTATGTCTAAACTTATCTTTGTTTCGTCTGGTGTACCTCAGGGTAGCCATTTGGGCCCATTGCTCTTTTCCCTTTTTATAAATGACCTTCCTAGTTGTATCTCGTATTCCACTATATTTATGTATGCTGATGATGTAAAACTTTGCCTTCCATACTCCAGGGCAAATGGACATCTTCACCTTCAAGATGACCTAAATGCATTTCAACTTTGGTGTGTGGCAAACCAGCTTGACCTAAATTGCTCAAAGTGTATGACAATGACCTTCAGTCGTACCGTTCCTCTAATTGTTGATTATAAAATTAGCAATAATTCCTTACGACGCATCTTTACAGTCAAAGATCTTGGTGTATTCTTTGACTGTAAACTTAACTTTAATCTTCATATTTCTACCATAATTAATGAAGCCAAAAGTGCGCTTGGCTTTATTAAACGTTGGTCTAAGGAATTTAAAGATCCTTTTATTACCAAGCGCTTATTTACTTCGCTTGTGCGTCCTATCCTAGAGTATTGTTCTGTCGTATGGTCTCCGCAACATAAACTGTATCAGGATCGTATCGAATCGGTCCAAAAACAGTTTCTTCTCTTTGCCTTAAGAGACCTTAGATGGGACAGTAATTTACGATTACCGTCTTATCATAGTAGGCTCCAGCTTATTGATCTTCCATCGCTAACCAATCGCAGAACAATTTTAGGAATTGTTTTTCTGCATAAATTGATTAGTGGTGATATTGATTCGTCTTCTTTGTTCGGTCGTCTAAATTCTTCGGTTCCGTCCCGAGCAACTAGACACTATCGTCCGCTTCATTTACCTGTGTGCACTAGGGATTATTCTTTGCACAGTGCGTTTCATGTTCTTTGTGTTAATTTTAATAAATATTATCACGTTTTTACTATCAGCTTATCTTAGGGAAATCACTCACAATGCCCAGGCATAAGCATTGGCATGCGTTTTTGCTGCTAATGTCGTGTTAGTGATTTCTCAATTCTATTCTTATATTCTATTTTTGGCTCTTCCCTTACTCTTTTCTTTTTATTATTTCTTATTCTTTTTATTAACTTTTCTTGCAACTTCTCTTATTACCGGCCTTTTTTTTTTTCTATACTTTACCTCTTCTTATTTTATTCTTTTTTTTTTTTTATTATTATTTTTTTTTAACTCCTTTTATTTATTTATTTATTTTATTTTATTTTTTTTTATTATTATTATTATTTTTTTATTTTTTATTATTATTTTAAGAATTATTTTAAGTATGCTAAATATTGTTTAATAACCTACATTTTAATATTTTATTTTTTTAAGTTTTCTTACTAACACTTTCTTTTCATAGCTTCAATAGTATCACTGACCATATTTGGCTGTGAGACGTGGGCATAGCCGGCCGGACTGGCAAATAAAATACCCCCATCGGGTTGGTGTTACTATTGAAATTATATCGTGTACTTTGTATAGGCTTTTTTAAATTAAAATTGACTCTCATTTTTGTCAATAGCTTTAAGAAAATAAATAAATAAATAAATATTCCGAACATATTTCGATCTTAGCTTGGGTGAGAATTAGCAAAAATAAATCTATAATTTTGTTTAACTAATCTATATATATAAAAGAGAGTTGTGTAAAAGTGTCTTAGCACTTATAACTCGAGATCTGCTGGACCAATTTTCATGGTTTTTGATTTGTTGGATTTGTCTCCGCCACGAGTAGGTCAGTAGATCTTTAAAATACTGAAAAAATTTGACGAATACTTGAAAAACGCGGTTTGTTCCCTAAAGATTCAAATTTCCATTTATACTCAGTAGCCTTGACAACAGTGACAGTTTCGGTCCTGTATAGAAGTAAATAAACAAATGTAGTCAGTCAGTCTACGGCACAGCCTCAAGCAGACCTGACTATTCAACAAAAAAAAAAGACTATTAAAAAAAAAAAAAAAAAAAAAAAAAAAAAAAAAAATATTAAAAAAAAAAAAAAAAAAAAAAAAAAATTTTCCAAATCAAAAAGAAAAATACTTCAGATCAAAAACCTGCAAAAATTCAAAAAAATCAAAAGATTAAAACCTGACTAATCAAAAATAAATAAAAAATTCGAAATTAAAAAAAAAAGAAAGTTAACTATTAAAAAGTGTATTTTTGGTTTTTTATATTTTTGGACTTTTAAACTTTATAAATAATAATTGGGCGCGTGCGTACAAAAGCTAAATATCTCGAATGTTCAGGTATTTGTTTGTCTCAAACATAAATTTGTGTAAATTATTTATATTTATATTTCTCGATTGTTTTATATGGTTTTGTGCGACGGCAGTATTACTATTAATAAAAATGCCGCGTCCTAGAAGATCTAATCTTTCCCGGCGGCATCGGAATATCGCGAGTCAATTATCTGACGAAGAACGAGAAATCGCCCGAGAAAGGCGCCGCGTTAGTACCCAGAAAAGAAGGGCCTTAATTCGTGCTTCTCAAAGAGAAGCAGCCCATGAAATGGCAATAAGAAATGGTTCAAGGATTGATTTGAATCGAGAAGCGTTTCGATATGATTGCACCATTGACTATAGCTTGAATCGTTTAGTTTGCATTGGTCCAATGGACGTTGTTTGCCAGCATTTTGGCGCATTGAAGTTTGCTGGTGAAACGCCCGGTTTGTGCTGCCTTAGTGGTAAAGTGACATTGCCATTAGTGGTCCCGCCACCAGAGCCATTGCGTTCCCTACTTTTCTAGCGAGCACTCAAAAATACAATGCCTGTTTCCAATTCGGGGCAGAGACAAATCCAACAAATCAAAAACCATGAAAATTGGTGCAGCAGATCTCGAATTATAAGTTTTGTAACAAACTCTACTTTGTTTTATATATATAGAGACTGTTAGGCGGTACTAGTATATAATAAATTTTGTTTTGATCTTGATTGCAAACATATAAATTTATCAACTTATGACGTTCGCCTTCAGTTTACTGCTCTTGACGGGAGACTGAAGTGAGTTTGAGGATCAGATTGCTAGTATATCATTCCTATCGATGCTTGGTAACAGCTTTAAAATATTTTTCAAAAATGTTCACGTCCACATATGCGGACATGAGGCGATCGATTCGATGAAGACATAGGAGGTGTTCATAGAGCTCGGACATTTTTCGTACTTTCAACTCGTTAATGATGGGTACTTCCAGATGGGGCTGTCGCAATATGTGACACGAATCATTCTCGAGTGAGTAGTGCTCCTCGCGAACCGCTAACCAGTTGAGGTTGAGGAGTATGTTGCAGAGTTTCTTTAGGTGCCCTATAATTCCGCGAGCTACGTCAACCAGATGCGCTGTTGATTGGACACGATATACTCCAGCTCAAGTTTGGCAATGCGTAGATCTGTGCTGCGATATTTGCGCTCGCCTATCCACAGTATGGGGCGATCCTCGACACTTGTAAGAGAAAGTTAACAATCTCTTTCCGGCGCCCGTAAAGCATGCTTTTCTCTGCTTGCGTGAACTTCAAGTGCAAAGCAAACGATTCATCTCTATGTCCATCATGTGGTATGCCCGTCTATGCATTGATATCCAAACGATCCGCGTGGCCAGGGCTATAAACTGTTCGTCAGTGAGTTTATAGGTTAACGTTATATTGTTGCACTTATTCGGGTGATGGATTTGGTCGTCTTGGTAGCGCCCAAGAGGATCTCGCTATGCGAAATTGACTTAGATGGATCGAAAAAATACGTTTCATTTCGACTGTGCATCAATATGAACTCCACCAATCGTAGAAAATATTCAGAGTACATAAGTAGGCTCTTGGCGCTTTATGCACCAGTGATAGATTCATAAATGCGAGAAACTACCGGTTTAGAAACTCTTTGGGCATCAAGAATACGATCAGATCTCGTGCATCTGTGATGATCACTGTATCGCTCGATGGTCTTTTGATTTGATATTTTTTATCTCTGTTGGTTCGATCTGTAGGTACACTGGCCAATGGTCGTACCTAATACGTCAATAATTTATAGTCTATATTTCTCAAAAATTTTTAAACGCCTTACGGCTTGGTTTTAGTATCCAAAATGAAAATCTTGACCAGATCAAAACATATTTCTGCATTATGATTTGTATATTTGAATATACATTATATTTCAAAAACCAGTTCCAGCTTTTATTGTTCTGGTTCTGGTGGGTCTGACCTATGTATAGGGCCAACAGCAACAGCATAGCAGGCCGATGCCAAGACAGCTAGTACAGCAGTGAACAGAATCTATGAGTAAAAGACACCAAAATAAGATTGTAACTTCTGAGTGGGCAAGCAAATTTGTTTCCTTACCAGTTTCATGTTGATTGTAGCTTCCTTTAAAACGAAGATATCATTCGGACTTGGGCCTTCCATTTTATACCCTTTTTGAAAGCGTGACTGCAACGAATTGAAATAGATATGCGTATCCGTACTGTATCGATTTCACAAAATAAATTTGCTTGACATCTAGTCGGACACGGCCGGAACGTATCAGATTAGTTATTTGCACTAGAACTAAACCATGTGGAACATCACATTTACATTTGAGTCAGAAGACTCTTTTTGTTAATTTGAATGTGAGTAGGGGAAAAACGCGAGGAGTATCCAAATATTAAATTATTTTTTAAAACAGATCTATAATTTATTTCTAGCACATCTCATAATTGTATGTTAACTTGTGTATTGATTTTTGCCATATAGCAGATACCGACTCCAATGTTGCTAAGTTCTCAAAATTGAAGGTTAGCTTAAAATATAGCAGTATTATGAATGAGTTTGCAATTATTTATAATTGGTAAACATTCAATAAAACATTTAGTTCACATGCTGAAAATTTCATTCAAATTGGCAATAGGACGTGGCAAGCTGTGCTGAGCATTTTAAATATTTTTTCTATACATTCGAACATGCATGCATTTTCTATGCATATTCTAATAATCACAATTGCAATGCAAATATGCGTCAATTTTCTGTTAGCACATGAATTCCTGTCGAAACATCACCTTCTCCTCCTGATTAATCGTCTGCAGAAATTCGTGGTGCTGCTCAAAGCGCAGACTGTCGGATTTGTTGTCCCACGACCATTTCCAACTAAGGTACTTCTGCAATTCTTTTATTTTTCTTCTTTTTAGACTCATTCACGAAAGTGAAATGAGTATATTGGTTTTGTGCAATGTCCGTCTTGCTGTCCGTCCGTCTGTCCGTTTTTCCGTCTGTCCGTATGAACGCAATCTATTTCGGCGCTATTGAAGCTAAAGACTTAAACTTTGGAACACATACTCGTGTATATCTCCGATTTATAAAGTGTTAAAATTTTCCCGATTCGCCCACTAGGGGCGTGGCAAATTGGAAAATGCATTTTCCGATATACCAGAAGTCATTTGGTATGTAGGTCCGCGTCGACCACCCAAGATCACGAGCTATGGCGGATATATCTCCGCCCATTGGGGGTGTGACAAATCGGACTGCAAGTAAGCTAATGTTTCAATTCTATAAAGATGGGTGAAAAAATTATATATCTACGCCTACTAAGGGCGTGTTAAATCGGACCTGAATATATATTGATTTTTCGAATTCGGCTATATTTTGGACACTATTGATGCTCGAGACCTTAGTAACTGGAAGTCATGGCATCATTTCTTTAACCACGGCAAGCCGTATCTATTATGTTTATTCTTGATCAGGGCGACGAGCTGAGTCGATTTATCCCTGTCCGTTTGTCTGTCCGTCCGTCTGTTCGTATGTTTGAACGCGCCGATCTCAGAAGATATACATTGTTTTCCTAGGTCTGTGTATACCACGCGTATATCGAGTTTTGCTTTAAAAATCGATAATTTGTCCCGTTATTTTGTTATCGATTAAAAGCATTATCGAAAACCAGTAATAAATTAATATCTCATACATCTTTAAAGCTAGAGTCACCAAATTTTTAATGTAGATTTATATGTACTTTATGGAGTTTTGATTTCTATCAAAATTTACCCCCACCCCTAATTCATCCCCTCACCCACATGTTTGTAAAATGAGTATTTCAAATAGTAGAGACTTGTGCTTTGGCAAATACATGCATATCTATATTATATTCATAATCTGAAGATAGTCCATCCACAAGAAAAGTTATTGGGCAATTAAGTTCCCATAGTAAGCCCACACGGTAGTCCGAATAATTGTTGAAATATTAATTCTTAGAAGAGTTCAGGGGATTGCGTAGTCGAGCAGTCTCGACTAGAGCTTTCTCACTTGTTTTTGGTTGATCAAAAAATCAGAGGCACAGGATTAGTAATCTTTAAAGAGGGTATGAGATTTAAGATAAAAATTTCCGCTTGGCCACTCCCATATTAGAGTACATATACATATGCATGTATGTATATCATGAAGTAGAGTAATATATTAACATTATATGTATCGACAGTCGCATCATTTGTTGGGCATCATATCGACATGAACAATTGTAATGGTATACCAGAATAATTGATACTTTAAATTTTTCTTTTAAAATCTTGTTTCTATATATTGAAGAAATGAAAGTCGTGTACACTGTTTATACGGATTAAAAAAAAAAAAATTGTGTACTAATTTACAGTTAATGAATCAATGAAAATTTATAATTGTATTTTGCTTTTTTAAAATATAATTTATTAGCGGAGTTTGCATATATTGGACTATAAGAAGTACAAAACTGTATTTTCCATTAGTCCGTGAAGTGACACATTGATATAGTCAAGGATATTCCGAACATATTTCGATCTTAGCTTGGGTGAGAATTAGCAAAAATAAATGTATAATTTTGTTTAACTAATATATAATAAATTTTGTTTTGATCTTGATTGCAAACATATAAATTTATCAATTTATGACGTTCGCCTTCAGTTTACTGCTCTTGACGGGAGACTGAAGTGAGTTTGAGGATCAGATTGCTAGTATATCATTCCTATCGATGCTTGGTAACAGCTTTAAAATATTTTTCAAAAATGTTCACGTCCACATATGCGGACATGAGGCGATCGATTCGATGAAGACATAGGAGGTGTTCATAGAGCTCGGACATTTTTCGTACTTTCAACTCGTTAATGATGGGTACTTCCAGATGGGGCTGTCGCAATATGTGACACGAATCATTCTCGAGTGAGTAGTGCTCCTCGCGAACCGCTGAGGAGTATGTTGCAGAGTTTCTTTAGGTGCCCTATAATTCCGCGAGCTACGTCAACCAGATGCGCTGTTGATTGGACACGATATACTCCAGCTCAAGTTTGGCAATGCGTAGATCTGTGCTGCGATATTTGCGCTCGCCTATCCACAGTATGGGGCGATCCTCGACACTTGTAAGAGCAAGTTAACAATCTTTTTCCGGCGCCCGTAAAGCATGCTTTTCTCTGCTTGCGTGAACTTCAAGTGCAAAGCAAACGATTCATCTCTATGTCCATCATGTGGTATGCCCGTCTATGCATTGATATCCAAACGAACCGCGTGGCCAGGGCTATAAACTGTTCGTCAGTGAGTTTATAGGTTAACGTTATATTGTTGCACTTATTCGGGTGATGGATTTGGTCGTCTTGGTAGCGCCCAAGAGGATCTCGCTATGCGAAATTGACTTAGATGGATCGAAAAAATACGTTTCATTTCGACTGTGCATCAATATGAACTCCACCAATCGTAGAAAATATTCAGAGTACATAAGTATGCTCTTGGCGCTTTATGCACCAGTGATAGATTCATAAATGCGAGAAACTACCGGTTTAGAAACTCTTTGGGCATCAAGAATACGATCAGATCTCGTGCATCTGTGATGATCACTGTATCGTAATCGTATGACGTATATCGCTCGATGGTCTTTTGATTTGATATTTTTTATCTCTGTTGGTTCGATCTGTAGGTACACTGCCCAATGGTCGTACCTAATTCGTCAATAATTTATAGTCTATATTTCTCAAAAATTTTTAAACGCCTTATGGCTTGGTTTTAGTATCCAAAATGAAAATCTTGACCAGATCAAAACTTATTTCTGCATTATGATTTGTATATTTGAATATACATTATATTTCAAAAACCAGTTCCAGCTTTTATTGTTCTGGTTCTGGTGGGTCTGACCTATGTATAGGGCCAGCAGCAACAGCATAGCAGGCCGATGCCAAGACAGCTAGTACAGCAGTGAACAGAATCTATGAGTAAAAGACACCAAAATAAGATTGTAACTTCTGAGTGGGCAAGCAAATTTGTTTCCTTACCAGTTTCATGTTGATTGTAGCTTCCTTTAAAACGAAGATATCATTCGGACTTGGGCCTTCCATTTTATACCCTTTTTGAAAGCGTGACTGCAACGAATTGAAATAGATATGCGTATCCGAACTGTATCGATTTCACAAAATAAATTTGCTTGACATCTAGTCGGACACGGCCGGAACGTATCAGATTAGTTATTTGCACTAGAACTAAACCATGTGGAATATCACATTTACATTTGAGTCAGAAGACTCTTTTTGTTAATTTGAATGTGAGTAGGGGAAAAACGCGAGGAGTATCCAAATATTAAATTATTTTTTAAAACAGATCTATAATTTATTTCTAGCACATCTCATAATTGTATGTTAACTTGTGTATTGATTTTTGCCATATAGCAGATACCGACTCCAATGTTGCTAAGTTCTCAAAATTGAAGGTTAGCTTAAAATATAGCAGTATTATGAATGAGTTTGCAATTATTTATAATTGGTAAACATTCAATAAAACATTTAGTTCACATGCTGAAAATTTCATTCAAATTGGCAATAGGACGTGGCAAGCTGTGCTGAGCATTTTAAATATTTTTTCTATACATTCGAACATGCATGCATTTTCTATGCATATTCTAATAATCACAATTGCAATGCAAATATGCGTCAATTTTCTGTTAGCACATGAATTCCTGTCGAAACATCACCTTCTCCTCCTGATTAATCGTCTGCAGAAATTCGTGGTGCTGCTCAAAGCGCAGACTGTCGGTTTTGTTGTCCCACGACCATTTCCCACTAAGGTACTTCTGCAATTCTTTTATTTTTCTTCTTTTTAGACTCATTCACGAAAGTGAAATGAGTATATTGGTTTTGTGCAATGTCCGTCTTGCTGTCCGTCCGTCTGTCCGTTTTTCCGTCTGTCCGTATGAACGCAATCTATTTCGGCGCTATTGAAGCTAAAGACTTAAACTTTGGAACACATACTCGTGTATATCTCCGATTTATAAAGTGTTAAAATTTTCCCGATTCGCCCACTAGGGGCGTGGCAAACTGGAAAATGCATTTTCCGATATACCAGAAATCATTTGGTATGTAGGTCCGCGTCGACCACCCAAGATCACGAGCTATGGCGGATATATCTCCGCCCATTGGGGGTGTGACAAATCGGACTGCAAGTAAGCTGATGTTTCAATTCTATAAAGATGGGTGAACAAATTATATATCTACGCCTACTAGGGGCGTGTTAAATCGGACCTGAATATATATTGATTTTTCGAATTCGGCTATATTTTGGACACTATTGATGCTAGAGACCTTAGTAACTGGAAGTCATGGCATCATTTCTTTAACCACGGCAAGCCGTATCTATTATGTTTATTCTTGATCAGGGCGACGAGCTGAGTCGATTTATCCCTGTTCGTTTGTCTGTCCGTCCGTCTGTTCGTATGTTTGAACGCGCCGATCTCAGAAGATATACATTGTTTTCCTAGGTCTGTGTATACCACGCGGATATCGAGTTTTGCTTTAAAAATCGATAATTTGTCCCGTTATTTTGTTATCGATTAAAAGCATTATCGAAAACCAGTAATAAATTTATATCTCATACATCTTTAAAGCTAGAGTCACCAAATATTCATAATCTGAAGAAAGTCCATCCACAAGAAAAGTTATTGAGCAATTAAGTTCCCATAGTAAGCCCACACGGCAGTCCATGCGTGTTTATGCGTGCATGTTTCTTGTGTATGCAGATAGGCGCGAATAATTGTTGAAATATTAATTCTTAGAAGAGTTCAGGGGATTTCGTAGTCGAGCAGTCTCGACTAGAGCTTTCTCACTTGTTTTTGGTTGATCAAAAAATCAGAGGCAAAGGATTAGTAAACTTTAAAGAGGGTATGAGATTTAAGATAAAAATTTCCGCTTGGCCACTCCCATATTAGAGTTCATATACATATGCATGTATGTATATCATGAAGTAGAGTAATATATTAACATTATATTATATGTATCGACAGTCGCATCATTTGTTGGGCATCATATCGACATGAACAATTGTAATGGTATAACAGAATAATTGATACTTTAAATTTTTCTTTTAAAATCTTGTTTCTATCTATTGAAGAAATGAAAGTCGTGTACACTGTTTATACGGATTAAAAAAAAAATTGTGTACTAATTGGGGTGTATAAGTCGGGAAATGCTTAATCTTCTACAGTTTTACAGTTAATGAATCAATGAAAATTTATAATTGTATTTTGCTTTTTTTAAATATAATTTATTAGCGGAGTTTGCATATATTCGACTATAAGAAGTACAAAACTGTATTTTCCATTAGTCCGTGAAGTGACACATTGATATAGTCAAGGATATTCCGAACATATTTCGATCTTAGCTTGGGTGAGAATTAGCAAAAATAAATCTATAATTTTGTTTAACTAATATATAATAAATTTTGTTTTGATCTTGATTGCAAACATATAAATTTATCAACTTATGACGTTCGCCTTCAGTTTACTGCTCTTGACGGGAGACTGAAGTGAGTTTGAGGATCAGATTGCTAGTATATCATTCCTATCGATGCTTGGTAACAGCTTTAAAATATTTTTCAAAAATGTTCACGTCCACATATGCGGACATGAGGCGATCGATTCGATGAAGACATAGGAGGTGTTCATAGAGCTCGGACATTTTTCGTACTTTCAACTCGTTAATGATGGGTACTTCCAGATGGGGCTGTCGCAATATGTGACACGAATCATTCTCGAGTGAGTAGTGCTCCTCGCGAACCGCTGAGGAGTATGTTGCAGAGTTTCTTTAGGTGCCCTATAATTCCGCGAGCTACGTCAACCAGATGCGCTGTTGATTGGACACGATATACTCCAGCTCAAGTTTGGCAATGCGTAGATCTGTGCTGCGATATTTGCGCTCGCCTATCCACAGTATGGGGCGATCCTCGACACTTGTAAGAGCAAGTTAACAATCTTTTTCCGGCGCCCGTAAAGCATGCTTTTCTCTGCTTGCGTGAACTTCAAGTGCAAAGCAAACGATTCATCTCTATGTCCATCATGTGGTATGCCCGTCTATGCATTGATATCCAAACGATCCGCGTGGCCAGGGCTATAAACTGTTCGTCAGTGAGTTTATAGGTGGCCAGGGCTATAAACTGTTCGTCAGTGAGTTTATAGGTTAACGTTATATTGTTGCACTTATTCGGGTGATGGATTTGGTCGTCTTGGTAGCGCCCAAGAGGATCTCGCTATGCGAAATTGACTTAGATGGATCGAAAAAATACGTTTCATTTCGACTGTGCATCAATATGAACTCCACCAATCGTAGAAAATATTCAGAGTACATAAGTAGGCTCTTGGCGCTTTATGCACCAGTGATAGATTCATAAATGCGAGAAACTACCGGTTTAGAAACTCTTTGGGCATCAAGAATACGATCAGATCTCGTGCATCTGTGATGATCACTGTATCGTAATCGTATGACGTATATCGCTCGATGGTCTTTTGATTTGATATTTTTTATCTCTGTTGGTTCGATCTGTAGGTACACTGCCCAATGGTCGTACCTAATTCGTCAATAATTTATAGTCTATATTTCTCAAAAATTTTTAAACGCCTTATGGCTTGGTTTTAGTATCCAAAATGAAAATCTTGACCAGATCAAAACTTATTTCTGCATTATGATTTGTATATTTGAATATACATTATATTTCAAAAACCAGTTCCAGCTTTTATTGTTCTGGTTCTGGTGGGTCTGACCTATGTATAGGGCCAGCAGCAACAGCATAGCAGGCCGATGCCAAGACAGCTAGTACAGCAGTGAACAGAATCTATGAGTAAAAGACACCAAAATAAGATTGTAACTTCTGAGTGGGCAAGCAAATTTGTTTCCTTACCAGTTTCATGTTGATTGTAGCTTCCTTTAAAACGAAGATATCATTCGGACTTGGGCCTTCCATTTTATACCCTTTTTGAAAGCGTGACTGCAACGAATTGAAATAGATATGCGTATCCGAACTGTATCGATTTCACAAAATAAATTTGCTTGACATCTAGTCGGACACGGCCGGAACGTATCAGATTAGTTATTTGCACTAGAACTAAACCATGTGGAACATCACATTTACATTTGAGTCAGAAGACTCTTTTTGTTAATTTGAATGTGAGTAGGGGAAAAACGCGAGGAGTATCCAAATATTAAATTATTTTTTAAAACAGATCTATAATTTATTTCTAGCACATCTCATAATTGTATGTTAACTTGTGTATTGATTTTTGCCATATAGCAGATACCGACTCCAATGTTGCTAAGTTCTCAAAATTGAAGGTTAGCTTAAAATATAGCAGTATTATGAATGAGTTTGCAATTATTTATAATTGGTAAACATTCAATAAAACATTTAGTTCACATGCTGAAAATTTCATTCAAATTGGCAATAGGACGTGGCAAGCTGTGCTGAGCATTTTAAATATTTTTTCTATACATTCGAACATGCATGCATTTTCTATGCATATTCTAATAATCACAATTGCAATGCAAATATGCGTCAATTTTCTGTTAGCACATGAATTCCTGTCGAAACATCACCTCCTCCTCCTGATTAATCGTCCGCAGAAATTTGTGGTGCTGCTCAAAGCGCAGACTGTCGGATTTGTTGTCCCACGACCATTTCCCACTAAGGTACTTCTGCAATTCTTTTATTTTTCTTCTTTTTAGACTCATTCACGAAAGTGAAATGAGTATATTGGTTTTGTGCAATGTCCGTCTTGCTGTCCGTCCGTCTGTCCGTTTTTCCGTCTGTCCGTATGAACGCAATCTATTTCGGCGCTATTGAAGCTAAAGACTTAAACTTTGGAACACATACTCGTGTATATCTCCGATTTATAAAGTGTTAAAATTTTCCCGATTCGCCCACTAGGGGCGTGGCAAATTGGAAAATGCATTTTCCGATATACCAGAAATCATTTGGTATGTAGGTCCGCGTCGACCACCCAAGATCACGAGCTATGGCGGATATATCTCCGCCCATTGGGGGTGTGACAAATCGGACTGCAAGTAAGCTGATGTTTCAATTCTATAAAGATGGGTGAAAAAATTATATATCTACGCCTACTAGGGGCGTGTTAAATCGGACCTGAATATATATTGATTTTTCGAATTCGGCTATATTTTGGACACTATTGATGCTCGAGGCCTTAGTAACTGGAAGTCATGGCATCATTTCTTTAACCACGGCAAGCCGTATCTATTATGTTTATTCTTGATCAGGGCGACGAGCTGAGTCGATTTATCCCTGTCCGTTTGTCTGTCCGTCCGTCTGTTCGTATGTTTGAACGCGCCGATCTCAGAAGATATACATTTTTTTCCTAGGTTTGTGTATACCACGCGGATTCGAGTTTTGCTTTAAAAATCGATAATTTGTCCCGTTATTTTGTTATCGATTAAAAGCATTATCGAAAACCAGTAATAAATTTATATCTCATACATCTTTAAAGCTAGACTCACCAAATTTTTAATGTAGATTTATATGTACTTTATGGAGTTTTGATTTCTATCAAAATTTACCCCCACCCCTAATTCATCCCCTCACCCACATGTTTGTAAAATGAGTATTTCAAATAGTAGAGACTTGTGCTTTGGCAAATACATGCATATCTATATTATATTCATAATCTGAAGATAGTCCATCCACAAGAAAAGTTATTGAGCAATTAAGTTCCCATAGTAAGCCCACACGGTAGTCCATGCGTGTATGTTTCTTGTGTATGCAGATAGGCGCGAATAATTGTTGAAATATTAATTCTTAGAAGAGTTCAGGGGATTTCGTAGTCGAGCAGTCTCGACTAGAGCTTTCTCACTTGTTTTTGGTTGATCAAAAAATCAGAGGCAAAGGATTAGTAAACTTTAAAGAGGGTATGAGATTTAAGATAAAAATTTCCGCTTGGCCACTCCCATATTAGAGTTCATATACATATGCATGTATGTATATCATGAAGTAGAGTAATATATTAACATTATATTATATGTATCGACAGTCGCATCATTTGTTGGGCATCATATCGACATGAACAATTGTAATGGTAATGGTGGACATGAACAGAATAATTGATACTTTAAATTTTTCTTTTAAAATCTTGTTTCTATCTATTGAAGAAATGAAAGTCGTGTACACTGTTTATACGGATTAAAAAAAAAAATTGTGTACTAATTGGGGTGTATAAGTCGGGAAATGCTTAATCTTCTACAGTTTTACAGTTAATGAATCAATGAAAATTTATAATTGTATTTTGCTTTTTTAAAATATAATTTATTAGCGGAGTTTGCATATATTCGACTATAAGAAGTACAAAACTGTATTTTCCATTAGTCCGTGAAGTGACACATTGATATAGTCAAGGATATTCCGAACATATTTCGATCTTAGCTTGGGTGAGAATTAGCAAAAATAAATCTATAATTTTGTTTAGCTAATATATAATAAATTTTGTTTTGATCTTGATTGCAAACATATAAATTTATCAATTTATGACGTTCGCCTTCAGTTTACTGCTCTTGTCGGGAGACTGAAGTGAGTTTGAGGATCAGATTGCTAGTATATCATTCCTATCGATGCTTGGTAACAGCTTTAAAATATTTTTCAAAAATGTTCACGTCCACATATGCGGACATGAGGCGATCGATTCGATGAAGACATAGGAGGTGTTCATAGAGCACGGACATTTTTCGTACTTTCATCGTTAATGATGGGTACTTCCAGATGGGGCTGTCGCAATATGTGACACGAATCATTCTCGAGTGAGTAGTGCTCCTCGCGAACCGCTAACCAGTTGAGGTTGAGGAGTATGTTGCAGAGTTTCTTTAGGTGCCCTATAATTCCGCGAGCTACGTCAACCAGATGCGCTGTTGATTGGACACGATATACTCCAGCTCAAGTTTGGCAATGCGTAGATCTGTGCTGCGATATTTGCGCTCGCCTATCCACAGTATGGGGCGATCCTCGACACTTGTAAGAGAAAGTTAACAATCTTTTTCCGGCGCCCGTAAAGCATGCTTTTCTCTGCTTGCGTGAACTTCAAGTGCAAAGCAAACGATTCATCTCTATGTCCATCATGTGGTATGCCCGTCTATGCATTGATATCCAAACGATCCGCGTGGCTAGGGCTATAAACTGTTCGTCAGTGAGTTTATAGGTTAACGTTATATTGTTGCACTTATTCGGGTGATGGATTTGGTCGTCTTGGTAGCGCCCAAGAGGATCTCGCTATGCGAAATTGACTTAGATGGATCGAAAAAATACGTTTCATTTCGACTGTGCATCAATATGAACTCCACCAATCGTAGAAAATATTCAGAGTACATAAGTAGGCTCTTGGCGCTTTATGCACCAGTGATAGATTCATAAATGCGAGAAACTACCGGTTTAGAAACTCTTTGGGCATCAAGAATACGATCAGATCTCGTGCATCTGTGATGATCACTGTATCGTAATCGTATGACGTATATCGCTCGATGGTCTTTTGATTTGATATTTTTTATCTCTGTTGGTTCGATCTGTAGGTACACTGGCCAATGGTCGTACCTAATACGTCAAAAATTTATAGTCTATATTTCTCAAAATTTTTAAACGCCTTACGGCTTGGTTTTAGTATCCAAAATGAAAATCTTGACCAGATCAAAACTTATTTCTGCATTATGATTTGTATATTTGAATATACATTATATTTCAAAAACCAGTTCCAGCTTTTATTGTTCTGGTTCTGGTGGGTCTGACCTATGTATAGGGCCAGCAGCAACAGCATAGCAGGCCGATGCCAAGACAGCTAGTACAGCAGTGAACAGAATCTATGAGTAAAAGACACCAAAATAAGATTGTAACTTCTGAGTGGGCAAGCAAATTTGTTTCCTTACCAGTTTCATGTTGATTGTAGCTTCCTTTAAAACGAAGATATCATTCGGACTTGGGCCTTCCATTTTATACCCTTTTTGAAAGCGTGACTGCAACGAATTGAAATAGATATGCGTATCCGAACTGTATCGATTTCACAAAATAAATTTGCTTGACATCTAGTCGGACACGGCCGGAACGTATCAGATTAGTTATTTGCACTAGAACTAAACCATGTGGAACATCACATTTACATTTGAGTCAGAAGACTCTTTTTGTTAATTTGAATGTGAGTAGGGGAAAAACGCGAGGAGTATCCAAATATTAAATTATTTTTTAAAACAGATCTATAATTTATTTCTAGCACATCTCATAATTGTATGTTAACTTGTGTATTGATTTTTGCCATATAGCAGATACCGACTCCAATGTTGCTAAGTTCTCAAAATTGAAGGTTAGCTTAAAAATATAGCAGTATTATGAATGAGTTTGCAATTATTTATAATTGGTAAACATTCAATAAAACATTTAGTTCACATGCTGAAAATTTCATTCAAATTGGCAATAGGACGTGGCAAGCTGTGCTGAGCATTTTAAATATTTTTTCTATACATTCGAACATGCATGCATTTTCTATGCATATTCTAATAATCACAATTGCAATGCAAATATGCGTCAATTTTCTGTTAGCACATGAATTCCTGTCGAAACATCACCTCCTCCTCCTGATTAATCGTCCGCAGAAATTTGTGGTGCTGCTCAAAGCGCAGACTGTCGGATTTGTTGTCCCACGACCATTTCCCACTAAGGTACTTCTGCAATTCTTTTATTTTTCTTCTTTTTAGACTCACGAAAGTGAAATGAGTATATTGGTTTTGTGCAATGTCCGTCTTGCTGTCCGTCCGTCTGTCCGTATGAACGCAATCTATTTCGGCGCTATTGAAGCTAAGGACTTAAACTTTGGAACACATACTCGTGTATATCTCCGATTTATAAAGTGTTAAAATTTTCCCGATTCGCCCACTAGGGGCGTGGCAAATTGGAAAATGCATTTTCCGATATACCAGAAATCATTTGGTATGTAGGTCCGTGTCGACCACCCAAGATCACGAGCTATGGCGGATATATCTCCGCCCATTGGGGGTGTGACAAATCGGATTGCAAGTAAGCTGATGTTTCAATTCTATAAAGATGGGTGAAAAAATTATATATCTACGCCTACTAAGGGCGTGGTAAATCGGACCTGAATATATATTGATTTTTCGAATTCGGCTATATTTTGGACACTATTGATGCTAGAGACCTGAAATTTGGTATATATACGCGGGTTGACCATCAAGTCCAACGAGCTATGGTAGATATATGGGGCGTGGCAAACCGCAAACCTCCTACAGTTTCAAATTTGGATAGTTGAGTTACTGGTAGCCTTTTCTATCGATGTCCCAAAAATAATTTTTAAGCCTCTTTAGGGGCGTGGCATATCGAAAAATACCCTGCAATTTTCACATTTTTTTAGCGTAAGAATTCAAATTTTGCATTTAGTTGCTCGGTGCTCGTTCTAAGAACTGGCCAAAAATGAGGAGTCTACGGCCACTAAGGGCGTGGCAATCGGCATTTATAGTGCCCATATTGCGGCATTTATATGCGTGAGCCATCTATTTATGTATTTGTTCACATAAATAGGCTTAATAGGCATTGATAGCACGCAAGGAAACATTTTTATAAAATTAATAAAATATAAAAAAGCTAAAATAACAAAAATTTGCAATTTTCAAAAAGAGTTTTCCGCAGGATTTGAACTCGCACCCCAGCCAAATAGCTGTTTGTCAAAATATCTAAAATAAGGATCGCTGGCGCTTCTGCCTACAGCACCAACTCGTCGTTTCGAGCAATAGAAGTTAAAACGAAATCACATTATTGTTATGACGCCACATAGCAAAGAGAAGCCAGTGTAGCGGCTGGAAATTCAAAAACAATGCAAAGACAAATCAATCGCAACGAGATTCTTAAAATATGCTAGAGTACGCATTTATGTGTACATACATACACACATACAAATGAGCGCGTGTATAAGGCTGGAATGCTTGATGCTATGCGTGCAGACTTACATATATACATATATATATGTATGTATTTACGTATATGAATTTGAGGGCTATTTAAGAAGAAACAAATTTAAACTTATAAAATTATTCGACTAAGAAAAAGAAAAGAGTTAAGTGCCATTCATTCAAGCTCGCACCTTCCCAATAAAATATATTTTTTATAAAAAACGAAATATGTATGAAAGAAAAAAAAATAATAATAACATCGAAGAGGTTTCGAACCTCCCCTACTCTAACATAATTGCGTCGCCCATAGCACCCGCACCACTGCTTCGCTTGACCAGCCGGTTGCTAAAATAGAATAGCTTAATAAGAGAGCGTCATCAGACAAAACTACAGTAACGGCTAGAAAGTCCAGAAATCAATCGAAATTCTAAGAATGTGAGAAAAGGCGCATTTCTGTCTGTAGGAAAATCGCTCTGATCTGCTGCTAGCTTGAAGCCGGTATCCAATATATGGATATAAATATATAATAAAAATCAAAATTGTATAAATTATATATGTATGTAATTTGAATGCAATGATGCAATGATCATAGCAATAGCTATCGATGATTTTCCAATTCTAATGGGATCATGCCCTGTTTTTTGTTGCGCACTAGACTTGAAAATTGCACTATATACTCTGGTTGACAGCGTTTGGGCTGTGAATGAGTCTTCTGCAATCGGTATCGCCCGACTGCAACGTTCTTACTTGTTATTTTTATTTAAATACATAGTTTTATACCCCGAACCCATTAAAAATGGGAAATCAGGATGGTTTTGTTAAAAGTATGTAACAGGCAGAAGGAGGCGTGGCAGATCAGGGTGACGAGCTGAGTTGATTTAGCTCTTTCTGTCTGTCCGTATGTTTGAAAGTTTGATCTCAGAATATATAAGAGCTAGAGACTTGAAAATTTTTATACACTGAACCCATTTTCAATGGGAAATCAGGGTATAATGGTTTTGTTGAAATGTATGTAACAGGCAGAAGGAGGCGTGGCAGACCCCACAAAAAAGTATATATATTCTTGATCAGGGCGACGAGCTGAGTTGATTTGGCCCTGTCCGTCTGTCTGTCCGTCCGTCTGTCCGTATGTATGAACGCGTCGATTTGAGAAGATATAAGAGACTTCAATTTTTTTTTAAATGTCCGTAATTACAGCGCGCATATCAAGTTTATCATTAAAAATCGATAACTCATCCCGATCTTTTTTTATCGATAAAAAACCTTATCGAAAACCAGTTATAAAATTATATCTCCTACACCTTTATTGCTAGAGTCTCCAAATTTTTTACTTATGCTAATATGCAATTTATGCAATTTCGGTTTTTGTTAAAATTTACCCCCCACCCCCTCACCCTCATGTTTGTAAAAAGCGTATTTTAAGTACTAGAGACTTGTGCTTTGGTAAATACATGCATATCCATGTTGTTATCATAATCTAAAAGTTTCATGAAGATCGTATGTCCACAAAAAAGTTATTAAACAATTAAGTACTCATAGTAAGCCAATATTGCAGCCCATGCGTGTTTATGCGTGGGTGCTTGTGTGTGTATGTGTGTATTTTTTTTTTTTTTTTTTTTTTTTTTTTTATATTCATTTATTGACAAAATAAAAAATTGCAAGTTGTGTGGTGGCTAGGATAGCGCGCGGTGCTTGCGGGACGGCCGTAAAGCATTGCTTCGCAAGCACTATGCGCTACCTTAGCCTGGGACAGCTCGTCTTCTCAGTCGCTCGACTCTGCGGAGCTCCATCATCACTGTGGCCGCGAAGGTGCTTGTTAGTTCCCAAGCTTCCTCCGATTCCAGCATGGCGTTGACTAAGTTGTCCGCTCTGATGGAGCGGCCCACTGCCTCTTCCAGACGACGCCTCTCCTCCAGGAACCGTCCACATTCGAAAAGAATGTGGTTGGCGTCTTCCACATGTCCTCGCTCGCACCAGGGGCACTCGTCAGATTCCTCGTGGCCAAAGCGCTTCAAATAGCTCCGAAAGCATCCATGACCCGAGAGGATCTGCGTAAGGTAGAAGTTAACCTCGCCATGTTTGCGGTTAACCCATGGTTCAAGCTCCGGGATGAGCTTGTGCGTCCACCGCCCTTTAGCTGAGCTATTCCACCTTCTTTGCCATCGTGCGATGCTGTTCGCCCTGACAGCGTTGAGTCGCGTAGGCCCGTGCGAATTCCGCTCCACGGCTTCGGCGACCAAATACTCCAGTGGCACCATACCGGCTATGACGAGCGCCGCGTCATCGGAGATAGTCCTGAAAGCGCAGCTGACTCTGATTGCGCTCAGCCTGTAGATCGCGCAAATGCCTCGGCTGTAGCTCGGCGTTGCCATCGCTCTTGCCCATATTGGCGCAGCATAGAGGATGACAGACCTAATGACGCTCATTAGGAGGAGACGTCGTTGCTGTTTAGGTCCCCGCGTGTTAAGCATGATTCTCGAGAGAGCTCTACAAGAATCAGCTGCCTTTTTTATGCACATATTCTAAGTGCTCGCGGAAAGTTAATCTTGTGTCTATCATGACACCAAGATATCTTATCGCCCTCTTTGACGCAATGGTGACGCTGCCGATCTTTATATTGGCAGTTTCCACTCTTTTGCGACTGCTGACTAGTACCACTTCGGTCTTGTGTGCCGCTAGCTCGAGCCCAGCTCCTGTCAACCAGCTTCGTATGCGATTGATACTTTCGCTGCACATATCCTCTGTATCTTTGAGCTCCTTTCCTATGGCTACGACAGCTACATCATCAGCAAAGCTAATGGTGTGCGCGCCTGCTGGTAGTTCCAAGCGCAGTACGCCGTCGTACATGATGTTCCATAGGAGAGGCCCCAGCACTGAGCCTTGGGGTACTCCAGCTGACACTGTATAAGTTTGGGGACCCTCACTCGTGTTGTATACAAGTGTTCTTCCTCTGAAGTAGCTCTTTATTATCTCTCTTAGATATTTAGGGATATTATATTGTGACAGCGCATTCAGTATCATATCCCAACTAGCTGTGTTGAAGGCATTCCTTACATCCAGGGTTGCGATGATGCAGTATTCCTTCGTCCCGTGCCTCCATCTGGTGCCTTGAATAGCGGAAGTGGCCAGACCGACAACTTTGTTAAGCGCGTCCGTTGTTGACCGGGCCTTCCGGAAACCAAATTGGTTTGGTGACAGGCCTCCGGCGCTTGCAATCGCAGTCTCCAGCCTAGAGCAGATCAGTTTCTCAAACACCTTTCCCATGGTGTCTAAGAGACAGATCGGTCTGTACGAAGATGGCTCATCTGGTGGTTTGCCAGCCTTGGGTAGCAATACCAGATTTCTTATATTCATTTATTGACAAAATAACAAATTGCAAGTTGCATGGTGGCTAGGATAGCGCGCGGTG